GGAATGCCGGGCTGAGAAGTCAGCTAATGTCCGGAAGGCGCTGGAGGCCGCCAAAAGCTTTTAGCAAGAGAGGGACACGCACAGGGGTCTCGGGAAGGGAAGGGGCTGAGAAGAATGCTGGGAGCTGAGCAGGGCGGATCAGAACTGTTAGGTTAGGGGGAAGGCCCACAGAAATAGAAGAGCTGAAGCAGGTTGAGGGGCTGCCAAGCCTTCCCGCCCCTCCAGTGGAGTTGGGACAGAGTCCCAGGGTGGGTTCTGGGACTAGAACAGCTCCCTGAACGGCCCTTGCCTCTCTTTGCAGTCAAGGCCACCATGCCCATCTGGGTGGTCCTCCTGTCCCGGATCATCATGAAGGAGAAACAGAGCACCAAGGTAACCCAGGAGGGCTCTGGGCCAGTGGGGGCCCCAAGGGCTTTCCGGCTGTTGCACAGCTGGTGACGTGGTCCAGGTTCCTGGCCTGCAGGCTGCCTGGCTTCCTGTCAAGTAAGGAAGTCAGCTTAGAGACCTCTGGTGGCTCTGTTGCTGCTAATGTTCTGGAATCACCCTGGGGGCAGTGGTGTGTGGGGGGTGTGTTCCTGAGTTGTCTCTGTTGGGTGATCTCAGGATGCCATCCATCTCAAGTGCAGCGTTCCTCCCTGTTTTGATTACCTACCTGGGGTTGCTGGTCGGCAGCTTGGATAACTTGGTCCCATCCTGACCAGACACCCCATGCCCCTCCAGTGGGGTCAGGGTTGGAACATCCTTGGAACATCCGACTCCTTGCTGGAACGGAACTCTGACAGAATTTCACATCTTTGCAAGAGATAGCGGTCAGGTTGGGACTTCTGGGGTCAGAAGTGAAATGCTAGTCAGAGGAGTCCGATTTTGGCAAAACCCAGCAAAGTCTTCGCAATAAAAACAGCCAGGAATTGTGAATGTCCGGGAATGGAAGTGAAAACAACACGCAGAACCCAGGGCTGCATAGGGAAGATGCTCCGGGCACAATTCAGGGTCTGTTCAAGATGCCAGGCCTGGGTATTTCCTGGCTTGGAAGGAGAGAAGCTGTGGCGTCAGCCAGAGACAGCCTTTCCCTGTGTCCTTAAGTGGAAGTGGGACTCCTGTTGTCCCAGCTGGAATCCATTTCATGCTGGACAGAGCTCCTCTTTCCTATGTGGTTGGTTTCTGGCATCCTGTTTTTTATGTAACTTAGAACGGCGGTGCCCTGGATCAGCTTATAGAAATGGGGCCACCTCTGGCTGATGTTTTCTTTCAGCCAGTCTTTTCCCCTCCAAGATCTGGGCGCGCTCTTCAGCCCACCCGCAGGGTGACGTCAGGTGTGACTTGTCTCCCCAGGTCGGAGTTGCCTGAGAGGTGTGCGGCTGCATCTCTCCATATCACATTGTGTTTATCAGGTTTCCTGTTGTAAGGGACATTGTACCCGGCTTGGGCGGGGAGCCAGAACCTTACACAGAGAAGAAAGACAGAGGAATGGCTTAGGCAGGAGACTAAGGATAATGATAGAGTTAAGTGTGGCCCCACCCTGTTCGGATAAGCTGGGTAATCATTCCTGATCTCAGGGGAAGAAATGGGACTTCAAAAGGGAGAGCCTGAGGGCGACAGCCAGTAGTTGGGGGAGCAGGAATTCTGGAATTCAGAGGCCTCCCTTGGCCCTGTGTGGGCGTCGGTGGGGTGGGGAGCCTCACCACCCCCTCCTGAAGTCTCCCAAGTGCTTTAAGAGTATCCTTTGTAGCAGGATGAGCCAGGAGTAAGAAAAGCTAGGTGTGGGGAATGGATCCCATTTTAGCCACCAGAGTTCCAGGGCCAGTCCTTGCCCTAGGCCCTGGAAAGCTTGAGCCTTCTGGAAGGCCCCCTATCATGGCACTCGCTACTTGTTCTTTCGGCCAGCAGTTACTGGGTTGCCTGCCGTGTGCTGGGCACCAGGAGCAGTGAACAAGGAGCTGCCCTAAGCGAGTGCAGGGACGCAGACAATGTAAAGGGCGCTTGTAAGTGGATGGAGAGCGCTATTCCCTGGAACACACAGCAGAGGAAACTGACAGCGTCTAGGGGGAGGTGGGTCAGGGAAAGTTCTTGTGTTTGTGAACTGACACCTGAAGGGAAAGGAGGTCTCCAGCTGGAGAAGGTGTCGGGGGAGTGTCCCTACCAGGGATTAACTGCATGTTGGAAGAGCCCAAAATAAGAGGGACCCGGCCAGCCTTTCAGATGATTGAAGTTTCAGACCCTGGTGTGTTGGGGGCAGCAGCTGGATAGATCCTACTGAGACCAGCCCTGGTTTGTGGCTCTTAATGGTGGTGATGGTATAAGGGGTGGGGCCACCCACAGTGATACAGCCCTGCCCTCAGGTACTCCGAGAACCATCTGCGTCCCACCCCCGCCAGCGCCCTCTAGAGCATCACTGTCGTGGTTAACACCGTTGTTCAAAGGGGTAGGCAGTGTCCTTTTGGGGAGGGAAGAGACAGCAGCTGAGGCTTTCTTCTGGTCATCTGTGTTGGGTGGCCCAGCTCAACCCTGGCCCATCAGCCCCTCCTGCCCTCCTCTCACAGGTGTACCTGTCACTCATCCCCATCATCAGCGGCGTCCTGCTGGCCACTGTCACGGAGTTGTCCTTCGACATGTGGGGGCTTGTCAGTGCCCTTGCTGCCACACTGTGCTTCTCGCTTCAGAATATTTTCTCCAAAAAGGTATTTGGGTGCCATCCAGGGTGCACCTGGTGTTGCAGGGGTGTGCGGGTGGCATCTAAAAAAAAGTGGCTGAGTAGGGATTTCTTTGGTGTTGGAACAAAACAAATCCTGTTGCCCTTCTGCTGGTTTTCTGTTTGTTTGGTTTTTAAATAGCTTTTTTGTTTTTTTATCATAAAGTTCGCCTACATTCAATGTGAAAAAAATGGAGAAAAGCCCAATGAAAAGAAATCAGAAAACTTATTGAGCACCTACTGTGTGCCAGGCACCATAGTAGGTGCTGGAGACAAAGAATTAAGAGAGACCTGCCCCCTGCCACAGGGTGTCCTCTTTACTGAGGAAAGTCGCAGTGCTGTCCCCTAAGGAGAACTACTATTAATGCTAGAGTTTTTTCCTGCACAGTTTTTAGAGTTGTAATATTATACATACTTTTCAAATTCTCCTTCGTTCATTTATTATTGCAACACTGCATGCTCCCATATCATTGAGTTATTGCTCCTAACTCCAGTAATAATCACATCTTTTCAGGTATCACAAGTAACGCAGTCAGATTCCCTGTTGCAGATGCAGATTATTTCCAGCTATTCACTATAAATAATATTGTAATGAACGTCTTGGTGCATAACATTTTTCTCTCTCTCAGGTTATTTCCTTTTGATAGGTTTACAGTTCTTGGGTCAGAGGGTATGAGATGTTTATGGCTCTTGATATACTTTGCCTGGTTGTTTTCTGGAACTATATGCCAATTTAGACACAACCAGTGCCATTTTAGAGTGCCTGTTTTACCGTAGCTTCACCAGCATTGAGTATTGGTGTTTTTTGTTTTTGTTTTGTTTTGTTTTTTTTCTTTTCTCGGTCCTTCATGTACGAAACATCGTGCCTGTTTTGGACATGGGGCTGTGTGTCTCGTCATAGGTGCACTTTCAGGTTTGGCAGTCAGGGTCAGATGTCAGGGTTAATGTACAGTCACCATGTTTGGGGCCCGGGTAAGCAGAGCCCCTCTTGCCACTTAATAGTTTCGATCAGCCTTTAAAGAGGTTTTCTCCCTTCAGGTGTTAAGAGATTCAAGGATCCACCATCTCCGGCTGCTGAACATCTTGGGCTGCCATGCCGTCTTTTTTATGATCCCCACGTGGGTCCTGGTGGACCTCTCGGCTTTCCTGGTCAGCAGCGACCTGGTGAGTTGGCCTGTGTCAAGAACATGCCCTTTTCTTAACTGGTTCCAAAGTAGGCGCTTTGTCAGGGGGTTACGCCTCTGTGTTGGCTTTGGGGCATCTGAGGCCTCTGACAGCCAGCCCTTTTAGCCCTCAGCTCTTTGATGACTCACACCGCTTGCAGTCGAGTAAGAAGGCTGCCTGTGCATTTCCTTCTCTGTCGTGCTAGATCCTAGCTGGTGATAGCTGCTGCATTTGTGCCAGCGCATTCAAGGAAGAAAAAAATGCCAGCACAGGCAAGTTTCCCATCTTGACAGTCTGGTTCAGATCTCACTTTGCCTTTTGGAAACTGTGCTTGCACTGCTCGAGTCCTTTCTTGGTGTCATCTCTGTACTTCCATTGGCACCAGATGTATCCATAGCTCTCTGGGCACAGGAAAGAGCATCTTCCCACCACCTACAGGACCAGCCTCCAGAGAATGTGCTAGAAACTAATGCAGCTGACAGTGATAAGAAGGAGGTTCTTCCAGGCCCGAGTTAGATGGAGTCAGTGTTTATTAGGGCTTAATGAGGTCTGACTGGATTCTTGACATTGGTCTTTAATCCCTACCACCACCTATGGACGTAGTGGAGGTTATCTCTGGTTTCCAGGTGAGGCAGCTGTGGCTCTGTGTTCTAACTTCCCTTCCATGTTGATTAGCTGTAATGTTCCTGGGAAGAACTTTCCATCATCAGCTGGAACTAGTTTGTTACCTGGAAGTACAGTGCACAAAAAGCAGTTTACTGCTTCTCTTTCCTTCTGGTTACCAGTTTTCAAAGTAAAGAAGACCAGGGAGTGTTAACCAGGGAGTTGAGGGTTTCTTTTGGGTGAAGGAGGGTTCTTTGATTTATTTACTTTTCAGTATCATTGTGAACTTGTGTTTGTCAGTTGTACGTGTTATTTTGTTAAATATTCAGAGTATCTTGTCTGGGCTGATGGAGTCCTTCTTATTGGCTCCCTGCCCTTCTGATAGCACATATCAGCCTTGGGTAACTTTTGGCCCCACAGGATGTCCTCCCTCATCTTGTGCGCCTCCCATCCCAGACCTGCAATCAGTCACTCCTTCAGGGACCCGGGTTGCTTTTAGCAGAGAGAGATTCGTGTTTAGAGATAACCATCTCAGTGCTACGTGTGCTCACTGCTGTTGGGTTGTCATTGTTTTTAAGACTTGGCAGTAAAAAACTAGGAAAGACGTATTTGGTGGCGGAGGGGAGAGTTTATCCTGATTCATTCTGATTCCAATTTAACATTGCAGGATTTATTACTGCTTTGATTTTGTGTGTGTGTGTCTTTTCTGGTACACTTGGTTTCTCACAACGTTTCTTATTTGCAATATACTACGGAAACTGTTCATACATGATTCTACTGTACACACGTATAACTGCTTCAGAGTAAGGATCCCTACCAGACAACTGCAGGTAGCGTACAGAGAAACAGTAAAGATTTCTTTGCAGCTCTGTTTGTCCTAAAAACAGGTTTCGTTACAGATGTACAACTGGAATACTGTGTTCTAAGGGCACTTGAAATAATTGTTTTCACAATGTGCCTCTGTCACCAACTTCTTGTGCATTTGGGTTCCTTTACTTCCATTTGTTTTCAATTTCTAGGCAATTATTTTTCCTCACTGAATATATCAAAGCTTTATATTTCCAAACCCAAATGATAGGACAGGGTTTATTCAAAGAAGTCTAACTTCAGTCCCTTTTGCCTCCCCACTGCCGACCCCCATAAGTAGCCATTTTTATGATCTTGGTTTACCCTCTCAGTGTTTCTTTTCGCAGACATAAGCAAATTTCTATATACAGTCGGCCCTCCATATCCATGGGTTTCAAGTCCCCATATTCAACTGAGGATCAAAATTTTCATCCGAGGTTGGCTGAATCTGCAGATGTGAAACCCACAGATACGGAGGGCCGACTATAAATTGTACTACGCCATTTTACATGAGAGACTTTGAGCATCCTCAGATTGGGGGCTCCTGGAACCAACGCCCCACAGATACTGAGGGCCAAGTGTGTTCATACCTCCCTCCTCCTTACACAAAAAGTGGCTTTTTAGATACTCAGAAAAGAGGGCCTTGCTCTTTTCACTCAATGACATGTCCTGAAGATCACTCCATACTGACGTGTTAGGTCTTTTTTGTTCCTTTTATTGGCTGCATAGTATTGTCTACAGGTTTGGCTTCAGTTCTGTTACACTGTCCTGTTACAACTCACTGGGGTCTGTGTGTATACACACAAACAGGTATACGTAAGGCTTTGCTCTGCTCTCTCTTTTTTATTTTTTTTGTCTGCTCTCTTTGCTTTGCTTTTCTCCTGTATTTTGGACATTTTTCAGTTTTCATCTAGTTTTTCTCATTGAGGCCATCTATTTTTTACCTTGATGGGGGCCCTTGTGCATTTTAACAGCAGCCCTAGGAGCATGCAGTAGTCTACAGTGCTGCTGCCTGAAGGCGGGGTTCCTGTCGGGGCTCCTTCTCTCTGCCCTGTGTCTCTCAGTCAGGTGAGTTAGCTCTGTTCCAGTGCGGCGCTCCATAGTAGGAGGAAGGAGGCTCAGGTCGGAGAATATCAGCTGGGGCCTGCTACTCGCCATGTTACCAAGAAGCAAAGGCTACAGAGGGCAGTTCCCAGACACACCCAGCCCTGATGCCAACAGTTCAGCTGAAGCCAGGCACGGATCACCAGACTTGGGAGCAGGAAGCCTAGTTTTAAAGTTTGGACAGGGTGTGTGAAACAGGTATTTGAAAACTGGAAAGTAAATGGGAGCAGGCAGGCTGGTAGAAAAATCCATATTGCAAAGTACCACTGAGCCATCTGTGAGTTTGCCTTTCTTTGGCCTCCTGTGTCTCCAGCCTGGACTCAAGGCAGCCGGAAATGCAGAAGTGGGCACTGGGGGAGAACAGAGTCAAAAGCCCTCTATGCTGGCTTGCAGACGGGGAAAGGAGATTCCTGATGTTCAGAGAGAGTAGAAGAAATCCCCCATTTTCTCTGTTTCCTTTGTTCTCTTGCATCCCAGGCCCCCAGCAATCCCATGGTAGTGGCGGCGGCAGGTCCCAGGGGCACCTGAGATACTGAGGGGGGGCAGCCTTCCTCTGCAGTCACAGGATGGGATTAGCCCCATTGCATTTTTTTTCTCCCTTCATCCTCCCACTGTTTGGCCCCCGAAAGGAGGTGCAGTTGTGGGAAAGACACAGCAGAATGGGTAATTAATTCCAACTTTCTGACTGGAGGACTGAAAGAGGGAGCCCTCAGAAACCATAAAGTACCAAGGAGACATGGAGAGGAGGAACCCAGAGAAAGTGACCTCATAAAACATGAAATCCTGGGCCCACTCCTGAGCTGTGCACGTTGGAATCTGATCCTAGCAGCATACAAAGACAGGATAGACTACTACCCAGGACCAAGAGTGACAGCTGGGTAGAGCACACTCAGGACAGAACTGTGTACCACTGAAAACGCTTTGGAAACAGAACTGACATTGGAACCACAACCCACAGGAGGCTGCTCAAGCTTGTAGCCTGAACCCAACTGAGTCTGCTAAAACCAAATATTGACATTCCCCATGGGACTTAAATAAGACCTACAGTCTTATAATATTCTAACTGTCCAGGATATAATCCAAAATTACTTGGCATATGAAGAACCAGGAAAATTTCAAGTCTTGTGGGAAAAGATAATCAACAGATGCCAACACTGGGATGACCCAGATGTTGGAATTATTGGACAAAGACTTTAAAGCAATGATATATAATCATGCTCCAAGAATGCTCTTGAAACAAATGGGAAGAACCGAAGGTAGATAGAACCAAATGGAAGTTCCAGAATGGAAGAAACAGCTTAAAAACTCACTGGATGGGCTAAGCAGAATGGAGGTGACAGAGGAAAGTCCATAACTTGAAGATAAATCAATAGAAATTATCCAGTTCAAACCACAGAGAGAAAAAGATGAAAAGACAAAGAAAAAATCTTTGAAAACAGCCAGAGAAAAATGATGCAGTATTTATAGAACAGCAGTTTGGATGACTGCGGGTTTCTCATCAGAAACAATGAAAACCAAAAGTACTTTTTTTTTTTTTTTTTTGCGGTACGCGGGCCTCTCACTGTTGTGGCCTCTCCCGTTGCAGAGCACAGGCTCCAGACGAGCAGGCTCAGCGGCCATGGCTCACGGGCCCAGCCGCTCCACAGCATGTGGGATCTTCCCGGACCGGGGCACGAACCCACGTCCCCTGCATCGGCAGGCGGACTCTCAACCACTGCGCCACCAGGGAAGCCCCCCAAAAGTACTTTTTAAAGTACTGACACTAAGGAACTATCAACAGATTATATCCAGCAAATATAGAATCTTCAAAATCAATAGAACTACAGAAAATCAGCAAGAATAAAGAACTGAATACCACAGTCAACCAACTGGATGTCTCATTGACATTTATAGAATACGCTACCCAACAACAGCAGAATAGTCATTCTTTCAAGCGTAGTGTGGAACATTCACCAAGATCATATTCTTTGTTACAAAACAAACCTTAACAAAAGGATTGGAAACATGCAAAGTATATTCTCTGATCATAATGAAATCAGAAGTAAATAACAGAAAGGTAATGAGAAAATCTCCAAACACTTGGAAATTAAACAGCACTTTTCTAAATAATCCCTGGGCCAAAGAGGAAGTCTCAAGGGAGAAAAAAAAATTTTTCAACTTAAGCGAAACTGACCAAAAACAAGAGAGAGAGAGAGAGAGAGAGAGAGAAGACACTACAAATATGAGGAATGAAAGAGGGAATAGCACTGCAGAACTCACCTTAAAACCATAAGAATACTACTGACAGCTCTATACACATAAATTCAACAATAGATGAAATAGACCAGTTCCTCATAAACCACAAACTATCAAAATGTACCCACTCAAGATGTAAAAGATAACCTGAGTCTTGTAGCTATTAAAGAAATTGAATTCATAGTTTAAAACCTTCTAAAAAGAAGTCATCAGGCCCAGATGGTTTTACTGGTAATTTCTACCAAACACTTAAGGAAAAATAAACACCAGTTCGACACAATCTCCTCCAGAAAACAGAAAAGGAAAGGAACACTTTTGGCTCATAACAAAACCAAGAAAAAGACCAAAATCCCTCATGAACACGGAGGCAAAAGTTCTTAACAAAGTATTAGAACAAATGAAATGCAGTGATATATAAGAACCTTGCTACACTATGAAAAAGTGGGATTTAAATCAAGAATGCAAAGCTAATTCAATACTTGAAAATCAGTCAGTGTAATCTACTATAATAGTCTAACAAAAATCATGTATTCATACCAACTGATGCAGAAAAGGCATTTGACAAAGTCCAACATCCAGTCATGAGTTTTAAAAAAGTCAACAAACTAGAAATAGAAGGAAACTACCTCACCTTGATCAAGGGCATATATAGTTAACATCATAATGATGAAAGATTGAAGGCTTTTCCCCCTAAATTCAGGAATAAGGTAAAAATGTTTACTTTCAACATGCATATTCCACATCATACTTGACATCGTAGCCAGGGCAACAAGACAAGAAAAAGAAAAAAGAAATACAGATTTGAAAGGACGAAATAAAATTCTCTATACCCAACAAAATTTTATTCTTTAGCATTAATTCAACTATAAATCACTACTTAAATTTTAACTTTAATTTTTCTCCTTGTCAAAGGTGTAAATGAAAAAGAAGTTGAGATACTGATCTGTCTGTGCGTGTGTGTATACATGGAGATAGATATATACCTATATATATTAAAAATTTTTTAATATAGAAAAGCTGATTGGAAAATTTACATACATTGACTGGCAAGAGAACTGGAATAGCCAAATAAGTTTGAGAGAGAAGAATAAAGTTGGAGGAATCACATTACATAATTTTAAGACTTAGTATAAAGGTATGGATATTGGTGGAGAGAGACATCGACCAGTGAAGCAGAATAGGCAGTTTGAACTTATACTCACAAATATGGGTAACTGATCTTTGATGAAGGTTCAAAGTCAATTCAATGGAGAAAGGATAGTTTCTTTAACAAATGGTGTTGGAACAATTGGACACCCATAAGCAAAAACTGAGGCTTGACTTCAACCTCACACATTATACAAAATTTAATTCATAATGTACTCTAGACCTAAATTTAAGAGCAAAAATGATAACCTTTAGAAGAAAACAGAAGAAAAATCTTCACGACTTGGGATTAGTTCTTAGACATTACACCAAAAGCAAAGTCCATAAAGAAAATAATTGGTAAATGGGGGCTTCATCAAAATTAAAAACTTTTGCTTTCCAATACACTATTAAGTGAAAGAAAGACAAGCTACAGACTGGGAAAAAATATTTGCCAATGAGATACTGACAGAGGACTTATGTTCAGGATATATAAAGAACTCTCAAAATTCAATAGTAGGAAAACAACTTGTTTAAAAATGGGCAAGGGCTTCCCTGGTGGCGCAGTGCTTGAGAGTCCGCCTGCCGATGCAGGAGACGCGGGTTCGTGCCCCGTTTCGGGAGGATCCCACGTGCCGCGGAGCGGCTGGGCCCGTGAGCCATGGCCACTGAGCCTGCGCGTCCGGAGCCTGTGCTCCGCAAATGGGAGAGGCCACGACAGGGAGAGGCCCGCATAACGCAAGAAAAAAAAAAAAAAAAAAAAAAAAAAAAGTAAAAATGGGCAAAAGACTTGAACTTCACCATTGTGATCGTACAGATGGCATGTGAAATATGTTCAACATCATTAGTCATTAGGGAAAAGCAAATTAAAACCAAGGTGAGATGCTACTTCGTATGCAGTAGGATGGCTACAATAAAAAGTACTGGCAGTACCATGTTTGTCGAGGCTGGGCCACAGCTGGAATTCTCATATATCGTTGGAGCAAGTGCAAAATCATGCAGCCACTCTGGAAAACATTTGGGAGTTTCTTCTGAAGTTAAACATACACTGACCATATGTCCCAGCAGTCTCACTCCTGGGTATTTACTCTAGAGAAATGAAACTCACATTCACACAGAAGCCTGTACATGAATGTTTATAGCAACTCTATTCATGATCACAAAGTATTGGAAACAACCCAGATGTCATTCAACGGGTGAATGGTTTAGGTAACTTCGGTACGTTTGTACAGCAGAACATTTCTCAGCAATAACAACTGTCATCCCTTACAACAACTTGAGGGGGGCGGTCAGAGGCATTATGCTGAATGAAAGAAACCTGTCTGAGAAGGTTCCATGCTGTATCATTCCAATTATAGGACAGTCTCCAAAAGATGAACCTATCATGAAGAACATATCAGTGGTTGCCTAGGTTGGGGGAGGGGGTTTGCACAAAGAAGCCCTGGGGAGTGTTATGGGGTGATGGAGCTGTTCTGGATCCTGGTTGCAGTGTTGGCTACATGAATCAATATATGTGTGAAAACACATGGAACTATCCACTGGGAGGAAGAAACACTTGACTTTATTGTTATGTCAGTTCTTTTAAAAAGCTGGACTGCCTGGGTTCCTTTCCTGGAAGATAGATATCTCTGCAAGCTGGCTGCCTTGTAAAAATAGTTTGGAAGTCCATATGGGTCACCTCAGGGAAGAATTGCTGGGAGAACAAGCCAGCTCACCCTGAAGGCGTGCTGGTGGGCTCACATGCCTTACAGAGGCTATTATCCCAACTAGGGCAACATTCTGGGCAATTCTGAGCAGGTCGCCTACTCAGATCTCCCTCACCTTTAAGAGGACTACGTGATCGTTCCCTATCAGAGGGTGGTAGAGATAGAATCAGGCCGCTGCCCTAAGATTGCTGCAGCTCCCATCCTGGCAGGGCCACTAGACACCACTGTCCTGGGGGGACCCAGCTGCATCCTCCTGTGTCAAAGGCCAGAGCAGCCTGGGAACTGGCCTGGGATCAGCCCAGGCTCTTTGAGGAGTGCTGTGGTCCCGATGTCTCTGCTAGTTGTGGTTTCTTCTGGGCCCCCTTCATTAGGGTGGCTTACTTCTGGTGAGGGTCAAATGGTGACTAAAATTTTGACGATACCATCGCCTCCAGTTTGTTTGGCTTGGGATTGTTTTAAAGCACTTTCAAAGCTATGATTGCATTTGATCCTCATAGCAGCAGCGTTGTGTGGACTTATCAGGGGTCAATCTTTCCCATTTCATAGATGAAGAAAACAGAGAGGTCGAGCAGCTTGCCCGGGGGGTTCCCAGCAATGGGGCAGACCCAGAGCCTCTGGCTCCCAGCCTTGGGCGGGGAGGGGGCCCTAACAATTCCCCAAGGCGGAGAAGGGTAAATGACAGCTTCCTGGGGCATCACAGGGTCAGCTACGATGTTTATGTGAAGAAAAATCCTGGCAAGGGGTACGTCTCAGTGTACCATGCATGCTCGCTCCATCGTGCCATGTTCACTGTGGTGTAGGGGAGAGACCCAAGGATTTGCAGCCAGAAGATGTTAGAGTATTGACTCAACCAGTTACTGGTGTGTGACCTTTAAGTCACTTCAACTCTTAGAATCTCAATTTTATTATCTATAGAATGGATCTACTAAATCCAGCTTTGCTGAATTGCTGTGAATGTTAAAAAAATTTATGTTCCTACCACTCTGCATTGTACTTGGTAGTAATTCAGTAAATGATAGCTATTTATATTATTATTATCATCTTCATCATCTACCTTCTCTTCATCATCTTCTCTGGATCTCATTATAAATCAAAGAGAATAAAATTGCTTATTCCGTGGGGTTACTGTGAGGACTGAATAACGTATGTGCAGGTGCTTTGTCAACAACTTGTCAGCACTCTGAAAATAATAATTAACAAACAGACTTGAACATCAGGGAAACCCTTACTCCTAAGCTACAGTACAAATAGTAGGGTTTTTAATCTTTGAGGAAAATTGGAATTACCTTTTTTTTTTTTTTCGGTACGCGGGCCTCTCACTGTTGTGGCTTTTCTTGGGGGGGGGGGGGGGGGCGCGGCGCGGGGTCTTCACACACCCAGAAGCTGCCTTTCCAGGACCTCTCCATTTTATACAATGCATCATGTCTGCTATGGTTTAAATGTCTGTCACTCCACCCCCAAATTCATATGCTGAAACCTAAGCCTCAAACATGATGGTGTTAGGAGGTGGGGACTTTTGGAGGTGATTAGGTCATGAGGGTGGAGCCATCATGAATAGGATTCATGCCCTTATAAAAGAGACCCCAGAGAGCTCCCTCACCACTTCTGCCATGTGAGGACCCAGTGAGAAGGTGCCACCCTGAACCAGGAAAAGGGCTCTCACCAGATGCGGAATCTACTGGCGCCTTGATCTTGAACTTCCAGCCTCCAGAACTGTGAGAAATAAACATCTGTTGTTTGTAAGCACCCCCAGCCTGTGGTATTTTGTCGTAGCAGCCCAAACAGACTGAGGTGATGTCCAGAATGCAGACCTCGCTCTGCTAACCCAGAGCCCTGGTCCTCACTGTACAGGGAATAGGGAAGGCTTTGGTTTGTGTCATACTCTGCACCCCTTGGGTAGCTGATGTCCCCCCGAACCTCCGCTTCCTCAG